GGAGCACAGTACAGTCTTTCTTAAAGTATTGTTGGTTATGGCTTGGATGTCTTAGAATATGGAAGGGAAGTTCCAAATAATAGTGAGATTTCATGGTTTTGAAAAATTGGGGGATGATGATTTGTTTAAGGATTATAGAGTTTAATTTTGAAAAGGATACAGTGAGTATATTCTCATTGGAGAAGGTATTATTTATGTATGTGGGGTTTTATTCTTTTTAATTAAAGGAGGAAACTAATAGAGATTACAGCTTCCCAGCTGGCCTAGAAGACCATATGTTGGGGGAGACTATATCGCCTAACACAAGTATCTCGGTCCCCAGCGAACTTACCCAGAGCAACACAAGTCTTGGCAGTAGCAGCAGCAGTGGAGATGTAGGAAAACTGCATTATTCAATAGGTATGGGGAAGAATTGTCCTTTATTTGTCTTTGCTTGTTTTAATTTAGATGCCTATAACTCTCCCCTAATCTCCATTTGTTGAGATGATCTGATAGATTTTTAATAATAGCTATACCTTACTGTCTACTCAGATTTTGTATGATCTACAAGTACTATAGTCACTAACTATGTTTATATTTAGTTGTTTATATTTGTGGATTATATCATTAGTTCTTAAACTTATGCATGCATCAGAATTGTCTGGAGAATTTGTTTAAAAATGTATACAAATGTCCAAGCCTTAGCCTAAAACTTTCTGAGACTGAATTTGTGGATGGGGCCTTGGGAATGTGTATTTTTAACCAGGTCTCTGGGTGAATCAGAGGTACAATAGAGTGTGAGAATTCCTGGGTTGTTTCATTGAAATTTCTTAGCTCTGTGTTGCTTTAAAAAATTGAATTCTGCTCTTTTTCTTCATCTTTTTATCATGAAAAATTTTAAATGTCCTGAAAAGTTGAAGGAATTGCATAATAAATAATCATATTCTCTACCTAGATTTAATTAAGTATTGTTAATTTTATATCTGTGTACACATACATTTTTATACTGAACTATTTGAAAAAAATTGCAGACTTTCCCCCTAAATACTTTGGCATGCATTTCCAAAGAATAAGGACATTTCCTACATAAGGTGTTATGATGCTTATTCCTTTCCAGGTGAAGTTCCACTTCCAAGAGGCATGAAAGGGCAAGACTTTGAGAAATCAGACCATGGTTCTTCTCAAAATACCAGCATGTCTAGCATCTATCAGAACTGTGCAATGGAGGTAAAAGTTCTGTATTCTGCCCATGATAGAGTGGCTGTAAACATACTTTTAATTTCAGAATGGCATTTAACAGGATTCTATGATGCCTTCATAGACAGAATAATAAAATAAGTGATTTTGTTGAATTTGCTTGCTGTCTTGTATGAGTAAGACAATGAACTGGGAGTTTACTTGTAAAATAATAGAACTGTTAATTCCAAATCTGATCAATAGAATAGTAAAATCTTATGCTTTTCTTAAGAGTATGGCCTGTTAAGGTTAATTTTTACTATAGGATTCTCCATGTCTGTGTTTTTCTGTTCTTAGGTTTTGATGTCAAGTTGTTCACAGTGTAGAGCTTGTGGAGCTTTAGTTTATGATGAAGAAATTATGGCTGGATGGACGGCAGATGATTCAAATTTGAATACAACCTGTCCGTTCTGTAAAAGCAACTTCTTGCCTCTTCTCAATATAGAATTTAAAGACTTGAGAGGCTCTTCAAGGTTAGTACTATAAAAGCTCTCCCTCAAGAGGTAAGTGCCCCCACAAAAGATATGACTCCTGGGGGAAGACTGAAATATTCATGGTATGCTCCAGGTGTGCCTTTCCTTTCTACCCCTCACCTTCAGGATTTGAATAGAAAATACTAGTAATGTGGGAGACTACTTTTCCATTTTATTTAAAGCAGGATTATCAGTAGTAGTTAATGCTTAGAACTGAACGTTATTTATAGAGAATTCAAAACTTAATAGTAGGCATTATTTCAAGCCTCCTGCCTCTGCAACCTTAATTATGTATTCTAGAAGAAAAAAGGAAAAAAAAATACTTCAATTTTTCTCTTAACTTGCTGCCACTTCACTTTCTGATAGTGCTTTAGACAGTGAAATGGTCAAATTCTAGGCAATAGAAAGGAGACTAGCTAGTCTATAATCAGACATTAATTGAGAGTTTGATAACTGTATGCTGGCCTAAGTAATTATGCTCACTATTCTATTTGTTTTGTGGAGTAAATGAACTTTATATTATTATCTTATTGTCTGCCTTTAGCTACTTTTTTTTTTTTTAAATCTTAAATTGTAGAGGCGTTTTCTTTCAATTTTTTTCTTTTAGCTTCGGGCAGGGAGCTAAGTCAAATCATACAATTTAATCACACTATCATTATTGGTCTGTGCCAGGGCCCTCTTATTTATCCTTCTTCCACCATTCCACTGCTATTACCTTATTCAACAAAGACACTGACCCTGCTCTGTATGTTATATCCTTGAATATATCCTTATAAAAATATATAGGGTCATTTTGTATATGTGTTTTTACTTTATATAATTAAAATGCTGAAAATATCAGTCTGTTTCTTTTTAAAAACTGACTTACTGTATATACAACTGCTTTATTCCCTTTCTCCTTTAGGAAGTTAATGCATCATTTTACTTTTCCATTATTCTAATGTTGGCTACTTCAGTTGCTTTCAATTCTGTATTACTACAAACATCACTGAAGCAACGTAGTACACTGCAAAATTCATAACCCCCTTCTGACTTGTAAAGTAGTTTTTCTCAGAAAAATATACTTAAGAGTGAGATCACTGAGTCATTTCTTACATGATTTTAATAAACAATGAAAGATTCTTTCCCAGATGGCTACCCTCCCACAAGTAGTGCCCAAGAATTCTCATTTCTGTACAACTTTACTAACATTTGGTGTTACCACTTTTCTTTCTTTCTTTTTTTTTTCCATTGAGATATTTTATTTGTAAGTATGTATTATATCCCTAGAAAAAGAATCCCAGGATTTTCCCTCCTGTGTGTTTTCATCTTGCTTCTTCATGGTCCATAATGCCAGCTGAAGTCAGTACAATGAAACCAAACTGGCAGTATGAGAGTATATTATTCTGCCATTTTTCTAGATCTTTGAGTTGCACATCTAATCTGGGGCTGATCACTCCACACTTGTTTAATCTGCCTTTGAAGTTCACAACAATTTTTCCAGCTCTGTGATCATCGGTGATTTCAAGTTCGCCAATGTAACCGTGGTTCATCACCACAGTTAGAAACCGGATTATGACTTTGGAGCACAGCCTAATAAGAACCTTTTGTTTGCCTCTTTTTTTGGCATTGTTGATGCTCTTAAGAGCATCAGCCAGGACATTCATGCACACCATTATGGCAGCATGGAAAGATAGCAGAAGGAGGATGGGCTCACTTTTCTAATTTTGGCAGTCTAATGAGTATAAAGTGGTATCTCATTTTTGTTTTAATTTTTCTTTCAGTGCTAATAAGTTTGAGTATCTCTTCATTACTTGTTATTCTGGAATTTTCTATGAATTACCTGCTTGTATTCATTGCCCATTTTTCTGTTGAGCATTCTTTTTTAAGAGACAGGATCTTGCTATTTCACCCTGGCTGGAGTGCAGTGGTGCAATTGTAACTTGCTGTAGCCTCCAACTCCTGTACTGAAACAATCCTCCCGCCTCAGCCTTCCAAGTAGCTGGAACTACAGGTGCATGCCACCACACCTAGCTAATTTTTTCTTTTATTTTTGTAGAGGTGGAGTCTCACTATGTTGTCCAGACTGGTCTCAAACTCTTAGCCTCAAGTGATCCTCTTGCATCAGCCTCCCAAAGTGCTGGGATTACATGTGTGAGCCACCACACCTGGCCTGAGTGTTCTTTTTATTATTGCTCTGACTTGGAATTCTTGGTATTAATTCCTGGAAGAGAAAGCATTAATTTTGATGTTATCATTTATTAATTTTCCACCTTATGATTTGTATTTTTGAAATCTTGTTTCAGAAGTTGTTCCCCATTCCTATGCCGTGAAAATTTTCTCCTTGAACATTTTTTTTTACATTTTACTTTTGATATGTAGGTCTTTAATCCATCTGGTGTCTACTTTTATGTATGATGGTAGAGATCCAGCTTTTGTTTTTCTCTGTGTAACAAGCCAGTTACCCCAATATCATCTACTAAATAACCTATCCTTTCCTCATCGATTTGTGGTGTTATCTTTATCATCTGTCAATTCCATGTATACCTTACTCTGGTTTTGCTTTTTCTTGTTGTTTTTGTTAATACCATATTTTTATTAATCCGTGTTTGTGTTATATCTGGTTAGGAGGGTGAGTTCCCTCTCTTGAATTTTTTTTTCTCTGTTCATTCTTTCCTGTAAATTTTTAGAATAAGTTTGAGTTCCTTAAAAAACAAAAATCTAGGTGGAGTCTTCATGGAGATTGCATTAGGTTTATAGACTAATTGGGGAAAAGCTGACCTTTTCAATATTATTTTCTTATCTATGAGTATAGTATGTCTCTACATGTTTTCCAGATCTTCTTTTATGTCTTTTAATACAGGTTTAAGTTATTCTCCATAAGTCCTCTACTTTTTTGAGTTAATTGTGGTTTTCCAGCTACTGTGACAAGTATTTTATTTTATATTTTCAAATTAAGTATGAAAGAGCATTTGAGTCCTCCCTCCCATATGATGTTACAGAAAATTTCAAATTTACAACAAAGCTTAAGGATTTTTTTTAGTGAACACTCACATATCTCTCCATGCATTTTTAATTTACGTTTTACTGTACTTGCTTTATCACTTATCTATCCCTCCATCAATTTATTTTATATTTTTATTCATTTAAAAATAAGATGTAGATATTAGTACATTTCTCCTGCAAAGACATTTCTCCTGCATGCATATCATTAACTAGAGTTCAGTATTTATTTACAGTCTTTTGAGGTAAATTTATATACACACAATAAAATGTACAGATCTTAAACATACCATTTGAAGAGGAAATGCATACGTTTATGCAAATCAAACCCTTACAAAAAATTACCATTACCTCAGAAAATCCTCTAATGTTCCTTTTAAGGCGCTCTCCTCACTTAGTCTCACCCAAAGGGAGAAGGAGAGAGATCACATGGACATAAACTAATTAATAGAGAAAAAAAGAAATGACTAGAGACAAAATAGACATTTATAAGTGAAAAGGGGGGCATTATAAACAGTTATAGGTTAATATATTTTATTTTGTTTATTTTTTAAAGACAGTCAAATTTACCAGTGGGGGGGTTGTATATCAACTTTAGTGACACTACTATTAATAAATTCTGATAACCCACTATCAGACTAGCTGAGTCTAGATTAATAATATATTTTAAAATACTGCTGTTGCTGCAGCTCTTATTTTTTTTAACTTGGGAAATTAAAATATTTTGCTTCCCCTCTTCCTTCATAGCTTTCTAATGGTTCTTAAAAACTGAAGGGATCTTATATTGGACTACCTCAGACCTTTCATTTGAGAAGTTTAAGATAGCAGGAGAAGAGAAAATGAGAGTGGGGCGGGGAAGAGAGAGAGAGTGTGTTTGTGTTTGAAATAGACAGTATTTCCCTTATGGATTGTATACGTCATTAATGACTGCTTTATCATAAAGCAATTCTAAATATGATGAAACTTAGAGGACTCAAGCATTTTTAAAGTGTTTTTTTTTTTTTAACTATTCCATATTTAGCTTTTTCCTGAAACCAAGTACCTCTGGTGACAGTTTACAAAGTGGAAGCATTCCACTGGCAAGTGAATCCTTGGAGCACAAACCTGTATCCAGTTTAGCAGAACCTGACTTGATCAACTTTATGGATTTCCCAAAACATCACCAGACCGTAACTGAAGAAACAAGCTCTGCAGCTGAGCCCAGGTACCACAGGGTAGAGAGCTCTCTTTGTAATAAGTTGTGTACCTTTGTAAAAATTCCATCTTTAAAGACATCCTGACTCTTGTAGGCGTAAGTTCTGGCATTTAAAAAAGTTTAATCTTAACTTTTCACTACCACATAGTGTTTAATTATCTAATGGGTGAATGTGATGACAACCCATTTTTGAACTAAGTTTAATATTTGACAGTGGTCTTTTACAAAATGAACTTCTCAACAGTAAAGAATATTTCTTCCTTAATGTAGTCATTACCAGTTTGCAGAGAAGTATTTATTCTCTTTACTGTGAAGTACACACTTTTCTCTTAAATATTGTTTGAATCATGAGAGCCTATTGTATGCTAAGTATTATGCTAAGCACTAAAAATTAAAAAGTAAGTAAGATCTAGTGAATTATGGCCTGGTAGAGATTAAATACTCATCAGTGACTTTATTGTACTTACTTGCATACAGTATATTTCTAGGTGATTTTTTTTAATAAAGATGAAGTAATACTTGTATAAAGCAACTGAATGGATACTTTGTCTTTTTAAAATAATAGCTGTTATCTACATTATGTCCTATTCCCACCTCTCACCAGAGTCATCTACTCTGTCTTGTTCTTCTGACCAGTTTTACAGATATATGCTTGAAGAAAATTTAATTTTTAAAAGGCCGTACTGATTCTTCTCAGTTATATTTAGTAGACTTAAGATTCATTGTAGTAAATACTGTAGCTCTACAGGTTTAGAGTATTTTCAACACAAACAAAGCATTTCTTCTCCATTTTTTTAAAGCGACGAAATAAAGAAAGCCAGTGGAGATGTCCAAACTATAAAAATTTCATCTGTGCCTGATAGTTTATCAAAGCGAAATGTATCTTTGACTAGAAGTCACAGTGTTGGAGGCCCCTTACAAAATATTGACTTTACCCAACGACCATTTCATGGCATTTCAACAGTTAGTCTTCCAAACAGTCTGCAGGAAGTTGTGGTATGTAAAAACATTGTAACTATACTGTGTATGCATGTAAGTATTTGTTAGAACATTATATAATTCTTCTGTAGTAGACTTATATTAATAACATGAAAAATGATAGATAAAAATTTCGACAGGATAGGTGGGTAGGAAAATTAAAAAAAAAGAATTTTTCAGTAAACAAACTAAGAACTCTAAGTTTAATCTTTTTATTATGGAGAATTTCAAATTTGTACAAAAAGAAACCGAAGAGTATAATGAGTCCCTTGACCCATCATTTAGCTTCAGTAATTTCTACTTTATGCCCATTCTTCTTTTATGTATACCCTCATTCACTTCCCTTTTCCTAGATTATTTTGAAGCAAATTTTAATCATATAGTCCATTTGTGAATATTTCAGTATATATCCCTGAAATATGCCTAAGTGATGGGGATTTAAAAATATATATAATCACAATGCCATTATCATACAAAAAATATCATTAAGTTATTCAGTCTGTTCAAATTTCTGATTGTCTCAAAAATGTCAAATGCATATTGGTGTTTGTGTTGTTTGAGGAATCAGGATCAAGTAAAGTCCATGCATTGCAATTGGTTGGTAGATTTTTTAGTCTTTTTAAATCTGTAGATTCTCTTTTTTTCCCTTGCAATTTATTTGTTGATAAAACCAGTTCTTTTGTCCTTTGGAGACTAGAGTTTCCCACAATCCAGATTTTGTTGACTGCAGCCCTATAAGTTGGTATTTGTACCTAGAAGCTTAATTAGATTTAGGGTCTTTGTTTTATTATTCATTTATTTTTGAAAGAATTTTATCTGTGGTGGTGTGTGCCTTTTAGCAGTGAACATAAACTATCTTTGTGATATTAGTAGTTATTAATGCCTCAATGCCTAGATAAAGTAATTTGTTAGGATCTATAAAATGATGATAGTCTAATACTGTCATTTCTTATTTATTATATGGAACACATTATAAAGAGAAACTTCCTCCCATCTTCTGTTTGGTTTTCTAAAGATGCAATTTATATTGGAAAGGCAGAATAAATGTTTGATTCTTTCCTTTTATTTACCAATTTTGAAAACGATGAGTTGGGTCTCAATTATTCTCCAAGGTGATCAATTAATTTGGGGGAATAGAGTCTCATGAACTCATAAATGTTTAAGTCAATGATCAGTGCTGTTTTTATCTTTATTGATGCTTATATTACCCAATCTTTGCTCAGCTAGAAGCCTATGCAAGTTAGCTCATTAGTCCTCTTGACACAACTGTTGTAGCTTTTTTGTAATTTTTTAAAGCTTCCTTGCTTTCTTATATGACAAGATGTTTCATGCTTATGTTAATGTATTTTCTTCCTCAGACCTAGACTCAGCCATTTCTCTAAGAAACCCTGGTTCCTTGTAGAGGGAAATGGTTTTGGAGAGCACAGCGTGGCACTAGGGTATTCATTATTAATGAGTTGGTCATAAACATTTTCTCCTGACTATAATATGCATAACTTACAAAGTCTAGGTTGGGTTTTATTTTTTCATTCCTTATTTCATTTCAATTATAAAAATGCTATTTTTTAATTCCTTCAGTTTTTATTACAATCAAATATAAAAACAAGTTAGATGTAATTTTAAAAGGAATCAACAAAGAATATTAACAAAAAAAAATTGCCCCATTCTAAACAATTGTAGTAGAAAGAACGTCACATTTTTTCACACACATATATCATTTTGAAACATCTGAAATGCAAGTATTTCTTATAAAAATTTGAAAAGAAAAATGAATCATACATATAGGCCATGGCTCTTATCAACATGGTAGAGAAACTGTTTTAAAGGGCGTATTGAAATGTGGATTATTGGCCGGGCGCGGTGGCTCACGCCTGTAATCCTAGCACTCTGGGAGGCCGAAGTGGGTGGATTGTTTGAGCTCAGGAGTTCGAGACCAGCCTGAGCAAGAGCGAGACCCCGTCTCTACTAAAAATAGAAAGAAATTAGCTGGACAACTAAAAATATATATATAAAAAAATTAGCCAGGCATGGTGGTGCATGCCTGTAGTCCAGCTATTCGGGAGGCTGAGGCAGGAAGATTGCTTGCGCCCAGGAGTTTGAGGTTGCTGTGAGCTAGGCTGATGCCATGGCACTCTAGCCCGAGCAACGGAGTGAGACTGTCTCAAAAAAAAAAAGAAATGTGGATTATTAATTTTCTTGTGCAATGATTTAATTTAAGAGTATTTAAGATTAATTATTTTTTTCTTTCATTCATTAGGGTGTTCTGTGTGTAGCAATGGTTGTGCAATAACTGATTTTAAAAGGATAGGGATGCATAATCTCACTGAGAAGTACTCTTAAGCATACAGAATTAAACAGATAATATTCACTTCTTTTTGTATTGTTTTTTAAGGATCCTTTGGGAAAAAGGCCAAATCCTCCTCCTGTTTCTGTGCCCTACTTGAGTCCTCTAGTGCTTCGTAAAGAACTTGAATCTTTGCTAGAAAATGAAGGCGATCAGGTGATTCATACATCCTCTTTCATCAATCAACATCCAATCATTTTCTGGAACCTCGTTTGGTATTTCAGACGTTTGGACCTTCCTAGCAACTTGCCAGGACTTATCCTTACATCTGAGCATTGTAATAAAGGTGTACAGGTAGGGTACTATCTTCTATACTTATATTGGTATTAGTTAGGTTGAGGCTTAACTTCAAGCTCCTGAAAGTATACAACAATAATAGCTTAACAAGATAAGTTTATTTCTCTCTCACTTAAAAGTTTGGATAGGCAGTCCAGGGATGGTGCAGTGTTAGGGACCTGAGATCCTTCTGTCTTTTTGCTTAGCTGTACATGACCTCTGTTTCCAACTTCTACTTCTGGTTCAGGATGGCTGACTACCTCCAAGCTATCATATCACATTGCAGCCAGCAATAAGGAGAAAAATGGATAGAGGAGAGTATGTCTTCTTAAGAGTTAGCTCCTGGAGTTGTACATAATATTTTCACATATATCTCTTTGGACTAAACTTAGTTATATGGTCATATCTAGCTGCAAGGGTGTCTAGTAAAGGTAGCTTTTATTCCAAACTGTCATATTCCCAATTGAAATTCTCACAACAAACCTTATTTGAAAAGACTCAGATGATACAATTTTTCAGATGATATAATTAAAGTTACAGAAATAATTCACATACCTAACAAGTGATGGAGAGTCAAGATCCTAATCTGGCCACCTGACTTGAAAGCTTCTACTCTATTTTATCCCTGATTCCACTGGAGACAGTGAGCTCCTAGAGTTCCTTTATTATATAGTATTGAATCTTGAGAGACACCTAGACCCCCAAACATATACCTGGGGCACAACAAAATCTTTTCTTAAAGTATTATAAACTCTAGTTTGACTAATTTATTTTAAGTACTAATAGTTCACACAAAATTATCTGGTAAGATAGTAGGAACTCTTGCACTTTGATTTAAAAATTTTTTTTAATGGCGATTAATCTTTCATGTGACCAGTGTGCCAGTTACCAAGTTGTCGTTCCAGTCCTTTAAAGTCAGAATGAGAAACTTATACTTCAGAAAATAACAAGAACACTTATCATCAGACATTCATAAAAATTAAAATTTTTGTGTCGAATTTTAGGTCCAAAACTTTGAAAGAACTCATCTGTCAAGTTTTGCAAGAGCCACTGTTTAATTATTATGCTTGGGATACTAATAATATCTATTGATCTCTTTTAGCTTCCTCTGTCATCTCTGTCCCAGGATAGTAAACTTGTATATATTCAGCTGTTATGGGATAATATCAACCTTCACCAGGAACCAGGAGAACCTCTGTATGTCTCATGGAGGAATTTTAGTAAGTAAAATAGAATTAAAGACAGACTCAAACTAGATACAACCCAGATTTCATCCCCAGGTGAATGGATAAGCAAATTGTGGCACAGTCCATCCATATAC